TACAAACTGGATTTTCCTTCGTAACCGTTCGAATTTATCTTTACGGCCACGGGGAACGTCGGCCAGCATGGAATAAGATCTTTCGACCCCACGCCACAGTCGTTTTCAACGACCGACCAATATATTTCTCTTTTTCCTACCGCTTTTTCATGACCGCGTTACGCGACCATATCGATTTCTCCGGCGGGGGACCAGGGACAGAAGGAATCGGTTCTGATGATAATAGGATCGAAGGACCCTGTCCGACGAAAATGCCCGACTATTTTCCGCTGGAAAATTCGAGAAAGGCCGGGAGATTTTCGGATCCGAGGAAGCTTTCTACAGCTTTCTTCTTGCGGGATGACTTAGGGAGATCTTATTTCATCTTTCGGGTACACTAGTGTCTACCGGAATTAGGGTACGAAAGATGGTTTCCGTATTTTTATTGTCAATTCTCTTGGAGGATGTTAGTGGAGATTGTTCTTTATACAGATGAGATTTTAAATTGAATATGGAGCTTTCTTTTCGTTGGTGAGTTTGTTGCTTTCTTGCGAATTTTCTTTGAGCTATTCTACTGTCAATGAGAATTAAGGTACAAAAGAAATATGCAGTTTCTATATTTGTATTCTCAATTTTTTTTGGAGAATATTAGTGACAATTGTGCTTTGCAGACGTAAAATTTTAAATTGAATATGGAGCTTTCCTTCTTGCGAATGAATTGGAGATATTTTCTTTGAGCTCTTCTACCGTCTATGAAAATTAGGACACGAAAGAAATTTCACCTAGTTTCTATATTTTTACTGTCAATTCAATTAGGGAATATTACTGAAAATTATTGTTTACGGAGAAAGATTTAAAATAGATATTAATTAAATTTGTGAAACAAGTGGATATTGAGAAGCAATTAGGCTAGATGTGTCAGCGTTGGTTTAGCTATGCACAGTAGTCCATCAATCCACCACCTACAATTGAGACACGTATCTAATTTGCAATATCATGTTCTCCATAATTCTTCCGTGTATCCTCTGCCACGTCGAACCTGGATTTTTCCAAGCGTAGCTTAACATCGATACACGCGATATTTCAAATCCCCTATATACATATTCGAGAACTGTTCAAATATTTATACAGAACAGCTGACGGGTTGTATAATCGATTAACGGAGAGTGACTGTGCAAATGTTCCTATAAAAGCATTAAAAAAAATTTTCACCAAATTACCGTGCAACGTGTGTTATCAAAAAAAGAATTGTCACAAAACAGAGAGTGGACCATTTACCGCTCATCATCGCTGTTTCAATGATATTCCCCGTCGTTAATGCAATCTCCATAAAATACTGCGGAAATGTGTATCAACAATTCTGTTTATTTTTTCCGAAAGCTTTTTCCAAAGCTTCCAATATTGTATAATATAAATATAACAGAAATGGGCATTAATTTGACGTTTTCCGCGTGGAAGAGGAAAGAGGAAAATCGTCGATGAATGGCTGAGAAACGTGACCGTAAGTAGAAATTGTTGGACGAGCGGTTTCATCGAGACTTAAGACGTTTGGAACAGATGTTCTGAACGATGCGCGT